TCCTCAATGATGGAGAAATTATCTGATATGTTCTTTTAAGCCCAAAAGGAATGTTTTTTTCTTTTTGTTGCCAGAATGGTTTATTGGGGTTCAAATGAATGTATGATATTTTTTAAGCCCAAAAGTGGTTTTTCTTTGCTTTTAAAAAAATTACATATTTAGTGTTTAGTGTATGTATAGAGGGAGCCACAATTTAGAATTTGGGCTTGGGTTTTAGAAAACTATGATCAGTTTCGTTCACTCGTATCGTTGAGTTTAATGTATAAGTTTCGCCCAATCAGTTATCAAATCCTAGATCCGCCCCTGATCCCTACCCAAGTTATAGGTTGTTGATAGCCTTCTCTCTATGTGTTCCCTTTTTATATTTATATTTATTTTTGCTTGCTTGCTTGGTTGAGCCAGTCAACATTATCCCTAGTGTACGTGGAAGTTTGAAGCACATAGCACGTCGTTGGTTTTTGTTCGGATTGAGCCATCAAACATGTAACATGTTCACCTACCTAAACTGGATAAGAGAGAAAACAAAATTATCCCCAACACCCCACATACTCCACCCAAATTTAAATGGATTATTGTGTATTTATAATGTATGCCATATATTTTCTTCTCTCTTTTTTTTTTTTCTAATAGCTTTTAGATTATTATGCGTGTAAATGTAAGTTTCACAAAAAGATTGTCAACCATGCTAATAAATTATAAATATTGAGGTCTCCATTCTTATGACCCAATTTGAACTTTTTCCGGGGTCATCATCCATCGTTTTGATTCATAATTACGTAATTAAAAGAGATTTGAAAGAAACATTTCACATAATGAAAATATAGACCAATCAATTTTGATGAACATGTCAAGTCATGGTTATGGACTAATAAATAGGCGATATGGTCGGCTGAGTCGATGGCTGCTTAACTTTAAAAACAGAAAGCATACGGCAAGCGTGTAATTACAAACAACGTAAAACGAAAATTTGTAAAAGTATTAGACGTGAATTATTATTTTCAATTTCTTGAAAGAGGTTGAATTCTTTCTTGGTTTAGACAAAGTTGATGGCTCCTCTCGGCCTACTGTCGTCTTCCCAACTGCATGCCATACCCTTTTCGTTGCTACTAACTTTACTTACCTAATTTAAAACTGTTTTTTATAGTTGTGTAAATTGTTTTCTTATTCATAAATTTGGTTCTTTCTTCTCCGAAAGATGACTCAAAAACCTGTCCCAAGGCACGAAGAGCCAAAGACAAAGGAATTAACAGGAAGGAAACAAAAAGTCGTTAATTAATACATAATATTAATGCAAATTTCCATATCTAATTAAATTCCAGTTTTGACACGAGATTTCCTTATCAATGAATCTCCTCTGAGTAAAGCCATGGAAAAGCCAAAATATATGTGAAGCATGGATAAGGATAAGAATAAAAGCAAATACAAAGAGCTTTAATTTTCTGTGGATTTCATTCATTTCATACAGATGATATAAATATATTACACAAGCCAGCTGGGCTCATAGAGTCATAGGGGACCCCTCTGAGTAAAAAGTCTGAGCCTCTAACATTAAGCCGTGAAGGGAAAAACCGAAAAGAAAAAAAACAGTACCTGTTTATTTGAAAAATTAAGAAGAAGAAGAATAAAAAAACTGGCAGTAAATTTGACTTTCTATCTATGAAATGAAATTCATGATTGATCTCTGTGTATGTTACAACTTACAAGTTGCTAGCTACTGCTATAGAAGAAGAGTGAAGAGACTATATATATAGTCTCTCAAAATATATACTATTGCCTGAGGAAATTGATCAAGGTCTGGAAGGAGTGATCTTGATGACGAGGCCAGGGAAAACATCATCCGGGTCATGGATATGCGGGTTGCGCTCCACGATAAAGGGGTCGCTGCACTTGTCACTGATGGTGTGGAGGGTCTCGCCTTCTCCGACCACATAAATTTCATCACAGGGCCGGTTGATCACAAAGTGTTTAGCCCCTCGAACCGGGTCGTTGTCCGGCATAGAATTGTTCTCTCTGATGGAAGCAAACAAGATCAAGGCCAATAGGATTGTGGCGCAGTACCAAGAGGCTGCATCAGCCATAGGCTTTGATGCCATATAAGATGAAAAAAAATGAGAGCTGATGAGGTTATGGGGTTTTGTTGATGAAACATAAAGAAGGCTGGGTCTTTGTATATATAGGTACATGTGTGTAGCAAAGATATGTTTGCATTTATGTGAAGAAAGAAAGAGAGGTTTTTGGTTGTTTGCGTAGGGAGGGGAGTTGGGTTCAACGTGGACTTGGCTTATAGAGAGACTGCTATTATATTGAATTACTGAAAAGGACAAGTTTAGTTTCTAAGGTTTTATTATGAATTTTATAGTTTAATTTCATGCATGGTGTTTATTTTTTAATGGTAGAAAGAAGCTCTGTTTTAGTTATTACGACAATCAATCAGTGTATATTTTTCAATTCTGGCAGGTGGGAGTTGTCTATTAGTCAGAGAGGCTGCAACTTAGGTGTTGAACATGAACAATTTTATATTATGCTACAGTGCTACTGCTACTAGAAGATATATATATATATATATACTCAGATACCAAAACTTTATATTAATATAGAAGTTGTGTATGTTCTAGGGGAATATCAATTTGGACATGAAGGTAATTATTGGATGCTGATCATGGGTTTTGATAACTGAAAAGATCAAGAAGAGAAAGATAGGTAGTGGCGGAAAATGTGGGGTGGCAAATTGTGTGCTGGGGAAAGTGGAAAATTGCGTGAGGAAATAGAGGCGGGCCTTCCTCCCCCACTCACCACCTAGAACATGAAAAAAAAACCTGTAACTATCATGTAAAGACTAACGCAAGCAACTAAAGAAGTTCAAAAGTTGTGCTTGCCATTGCCTAAAGCCTTTGACGAATTCTTGTGCCAAATGGGTGTTGAGATCTTTTTGGACTTTTGCCTCCTGCCGTGCCCCAAATGCTTGGCTTTATGAACCAGCTGACCAAGTCATCAGCCGACCATATACATTGGCAATATAGATGGACAAAATTATTAGCTCTTTTTTATTTTCTTTTGTTTTTGGTGTAGGGGTGGACCAAACCATCGTTCCCAATTTCCCAACGCACAACCAAGAGATGAGAGGTTGACATATTGGAGGGTTTGGAACTTTATTGGGGATGCCAGCCACACAAGTCGGGATTGTTTCATCGGAATGCATTTAATCAGTCGGCGGAGAGTGTCCAGTTGGGTAAAGAGTTGATGAGATGTATGATTGAAAGAAGATAGTCACACCAACAGGAGTTGGTCCAAGTGGAAGGGGCTTGGATCCTTTAAACAAGAGGTCCTGGATTCGATCCCAGGCGCTTGCGAATAGAGCAGACTTTGTTGGGAGAGGTCCCCGCTTTGGGCTCGACACTCAGTACCTCAAGGGTTAGTCCCCGCAATCGCGCGGAGGATACCTTGGTTTTCACCAAAAAAAAAAGAAGATAGTCACAGCCAATGGGTGTGGTGGCTTCCCCCCCTCATGGATGGCACCCCAGTTCGAACCCACCCCAGTGTAAACCAAAAAATGAAAGAAGATAAGTCACGAAAATAATATAATTATTATTATACAGGTAGCCTATTAAATCAATAATTCATTTTTGTCTAAGGAGCATTAATATTCTCAATAGTGCCTTACTTTGGATGTTAGTTTATGTGATATTGTATCCTTTATTTTCATGTATTTGCTAATACAAACATATAATCCTTATTAGCAATGGTCCCACACTCCACGCTTTCAATGTTTATATTATTATTATAAGTATAACATCCAAAGATTGATGTATATATTATTATTATTGGCTGCTTCGCTTCGGCATATATATATATCTGGTACAATTTTAGACAGTTGCCTCTATATAATGCACGCCAAAATTGCGGCATAAATATTGATAAGGTTTCGGTTAACATTCAAAAAAATGCACCGATTCCTCAGTCAAATCTGTAAACCATAACTCAGGTAGGCGGCTTGTAAATTTGTTTGGTAGAAGTGGCACTGGCGCAATGCCTAATTGCCCATCCTATTTGAATTTGATCCATTTTTGTTCAATATTGGTAAAACATTAATTTGGTTTTCACGTTTTCTCTTTTCTTTATCTGGCAACCTCTCTTTATACAGCAATACGTACCCATAATATTAGGACCTATTAATAAATGTTCAATCCAGGGCCATCTCTAGGGTTCGGTTACTTTGTGATTGTATATGCATATAAATATGAACTAATTTCATAGGAAATTAGTATACTCTAAATGCAAAATATGATAGCTTTTATAGAGAGAGACATCTCAATTAGCAATACGACAAACATGAGTAAAGCTTCCCCAATATCCAGAATCAACTTTACAGCAATAAATCCTATATAATTAGGAGGCAAGTCAGACTAAAAACTACCAACTACATAACTACCAAATGTTAATTTATAATATCTTTTGTGCAGATAAGATTCATAATATAAGGTGCTTCTGACTAAGCCTATGCCATTAATTAGCCAAAACCCTATAATTGGCGTCACCATCCACCATTTTTCAGAGAAAACATCTCAAACATGGTCATCCAATTGAATTGAATTAAGCGATGGGAAACACAATTAAGATTCATTTATTTTAATTGGTAGACATAGTCGTAATGTTAATTATCTTGAAACATATTTCAACCACATTTGAGCACTAAACCCTTTGGAAGTGACATCACGGTAATAGACTTATCACTCCTATCCTATTCTCCACGACAGTGTCACAGTGTAACACAAATTTCCCATTAGCGCATAATCACCACCATCCCTCTGTGCTGTGGAAGACCTAGAAGAAAGAAAGAAATTGTGAAAGCACAAGCTAAAATGCCTTCCTTCCATGAATAAACATTTGTACGTGCTTCCTGGAAGATGGAACTTTGGATTAAGTTAGTGGCATGGCAGCAGAGAGGCCCAACCCATCAAGCAAGTCTATGCCAACCAAAGGGATCTGATTGACCCAAAAGAAAAAGCCCATATTGAAATGCTCAACCCAGCACAAAGCAAACAAACAGGCACAAGTTAGGCCAGTGGCGGGAAAGTCGATGGGCACATGCATTTTGATCTTTCACCCATGGTGACCTGAGAACTTCATTTTCTGCCCCAAATTCAATTCAAAATTTAACCAAAACCAACGCCGCTCGTCATGAAACTCGCAAGACCCATTAGGCGCCACTTCAGCACCTCCACAGCCAGCCAAAAATCAGAGCGTGTGGCCAACAACAGACCAATCTCCTTGACTCAAATCAAAGAGCTTCATGCACACCTTATCAGAACCCAGCTCCACAAAGACCCGTCTTCGGTCTCAGAGGTTATTAGATATTACGCACTATCTCCTCTGTTTTTGGAGAAAGCCCTTTTAGTCTTCAATCAAATTGAGCAACCCACATTGTTGATTTGGAACCATATGATCCGTGGACTATCACAGAGTGGCCAATTCAGTGAAGCAATTCACGCGTATAACCGTATGTATCGCCAAGGATTGGCTGGGAATCATTTGACCTTTATATTCATTTTCAAGGCTTGTGCTCGAGCTCCTGATGTTGTACATGGCCAAACGGTCCATGCCCATGCACTGAAACTTGGCTTTGAACCGTATCTTTTTGTTTCGAATGCCTTAATTCACATGTATGCATCTTGTGGTTATTTGGGTTTTGCTCAGAAAGTGTTTGATGGAATGCGGGAAAGAGATTTGGTCTCTTGGAATTCTTTGATATGTGGATATAGTCAGTGCAACAGGTTTGAGAATGTTTTGGGTCTTTTTAAGGCAATGCAGGCAGCGAATGTGAGGGCTGATGCGGTCACAATGATGAAAGTTATTTTGGCGTGTAATTACTTGGGTGAATGGGAAATTGCAGACTCTATGGTTAACTATGTTGAAGAAAATCATGTTGACATTGATGTTTACTTGGGAAACACTATGATAGATATGTATGGACGTCGTGGTTTGGTGAATTTGGCTCGGGAAGTATTTGATCGGATGCATGAAAGAAACATAGTTTCATGGAATTCCATGATCAAGGGATATGCAAAAGCGGGAAACTTTGTCAGTGCAAGAAAGCTTTTCAATGAGATGCCGAAGAGAAATGTGGTCTCTTGGACTTCCATGATCACTGGTTACTCTCAAGCCAACCAACATGCTGAGGCGGTGAGCCTTTTTGAAGAAATGACGGGAGCTAATGTGAGAGCAGATGAAATAACGGTGGCTAGTGTGCTTTCTGCTTGTGCGCATGTGGGTTCGCTTGATGTGGGAGAGGCTATCCACCTCTACATAAGGAAGCATGGTGTGAAAGTAGATATCTATGTAGGAAATTCTTTGATAGACATGTATTGCAAATGTGGGGTGGCTGAGAAGGCATTGGAGGTGTTTCAATGGATGGAAGAGAAAGACTCTGGCTTTCTGCTTGTGCGCATGTGGGTTCGCTTGATGTGGGAGAGGCTATCCACCGCTACATAAGGAAGCATGGTGTGAAAGTAGATATCTATGTAGGAAATTCTTTGATAGACATGTATTGCAAATGTGGGGTGGCTGAGAAGGCATTGGAGGTGTTTCAATGGATGGAAGAGAAAGACTCTGTGTCATGGACTTCGGTAATTTCAGGCCTTGCTGTGAATGGTTTTGCAGATTCTGCACTTGAACTCTTCTCGCGGATGTTGAGAGATGGTATTCGACCAACTCATGGAACGTTCGTCGGGATTCTATTAGCTTGCGCTCATGCTGGATTGGTAGAAAAAGGATTGGAATATTTTGAAAGCATGGAAAAGATTCATGGACTAATGCCAGAAATGAAACACTATGGATGTGTTGTGGATCTGTTGAGCCGCTCTGGAGAGGTAGACAAGGCCTATGAGTTCATACAAAATATGCCTATTGTTCCCGACGTTGTAGTGTGGAGGATATTGCTGAGTGCTTGTAAGGTTCATGGAAATGTGGCCCTAGCAGAAGTTGTCGGAAACAAGCTTCTTGAATTGAATCCTTCTAACAGCGGGAATTATGTTCTCTCATCAAATACTTATGCAGCTTCAGATAGATGGGAAGATGTTATAAGAATAAGAGAACTGATGGATGAGAGCAATGTGCAGAAGCCATTTGGCCGTAGTTCCATTGAAATAAATGGCAAATTGTCAAATAACTCTCAGGAGCCAGGGCTCACTTGTAAGAAGAATCGATGAATCTATCTCAAATTGATCTTGGCAGACCAATTCTTTTAGTGCGTGGGCTTATAAAATTGAACAGTAAGAATTGCTCATGTGACCCAGCTGGTCTTGGAACAGAGAGGACAAGTTGTGATGCATAGGAAGCAATCATCATCTCAGTCTCAGATGAAAAATGGGCTGCTTCTAGAATTGGGGTAAACCTTAAAACCTTCTGATGAGATGCAAGCTTTGCTGATGTACAGATCACCATTATATACCTCTGTAACCTAGTAAAATACACTGAAAAGATTCACGACAAGAGGAGATTCGAATTTGGGATCTTTTCAATTCTGAAAAAAAAACCAAAAAAAAAGGTACCACTAAAAAAAAAGAGTTGGTCCAAAATAATATTCGTTCATAATTCTCTCACATTGAGAGTCACTCAAAAATAATATGTTTGATCTTAAATTGTCATTATATGTCTCTGTTTAGCAATTGAAAAGTGTGTAAAGCTTACGGTAAGAGTAGCATATTCCACTAACCTGACTGAATCTCATCATTGTCATTTGAGCGAAAACAAAAAGAATCTCATCATTGTAATGGGCTAATATTTTGGCTTAAATTTTCCCAACAACGCCTTTCATGAACACAAATAGATGCTGGCAGAAATCATTAAGAAAACACTTTTTTCACGAGAATAATATTTCTTTAACAAAAGGGACAGTTGTTGCCTACGCGAATCTGAGTGTACCTGACGTGGAAACTAGTCAGCGATTTGTGGCGTGCCAGAATAAAGGCTGGCAACAGAGCCCATCTAATTTCTAAAGCTGACAACGTGGAGCCCATCTCATCTAATTCATATTTGATATTGAGTTCAAATCCGGATATATAATTATCTTACTGAGTAAATCATATTTTTACTAAATTAACCCTATACCATAACTACATTAGATCAAATGTCTGATTTATCACTCAATTACTTAACTATATCTACATCAGATCAAATCAATTATCTCATTTCTCACTTACCTAAAAATGTATCAGATCAAATGTCTGATTTTATCACTTACCTAATAATAGTACCTAATTATGTCCCCCGATATGATCTCAAATAGCAAAACAGGTAAATAATTTACTTGGATCCAAAAACAAAAGTATCGGGTAAACTATCCTTTTCTCCTTTTCTTTTCCTTTTTTGTCAAAGTTAACTCACACAAGATATTGTGGGGATTTGAACCCATGACCACTTGGGAGCACAACAAAAGCTTGGGCCAATCCAACTAACACCTCAGGTAAATTATCTTCAAAACTACCATACGGTCTAGTCAAAAGTAAATTAACTTAACTAATGTCGGCCATTTATGCAAACTAGACAAGGCATATAAGTTTGCTACAAAATAAAATATGCTTGCGAGGTTCATGTTGCTCTGCTGAGAAACACTTGTGTCAAACAGGTGTTTTGCAATTCTCGACCACGGGATGCCAAGACAAAAAAATTATCATACATTGCATACTGTGAATAGCTGAGAATAGCGCACACAAGTTTTTCTGATAGCTGAGACTGAGACTATAACAAGCAATAGCTTCTGGAGTTGGATCCATCAAATACTTAAGCAGGTCAGATGAAATTATGGGATGCAATGATGTTTATAAAAATGAGAGCAGAGCAACGTGCAGAAACCATTTGGTCGTACTTCCATTGAAATATAATAAGTGGCAGATTATCAAATAACTCTCACTTGCAAGAAGAATTGATGAATCTATCTAAAATTGATCTCACCAGAACAGAACAGAACAGACCAGCACAAATGTTTCAGTGCATGTGCATGGCCATATAATAAAATCGAATGTGGAGTGGAGAGCTATATGAGCAGTAGCAGGAAGTGCTTATCTGAACCTCAACATCATCAGCTGGTCTTTCAACAGAAGAGAGGTCTTTCAACTGAGGTGCATCTAAAATGTTGCCAGCAAAGCTTTTGCATTTTCAGAATCCCCTGAGTGGACAAGTTGTGATGATTTCAGCTCAGATGAAAAAGGGCAGCTTCTACAGTTTTGGGAAGCTGCTGATGGAGATGCAAGTCAGCTTGGTGACTATTCTATGCCTTATATAAGCTAGCTAGTACAATAGACCGAGCCAAAAATAAATAAAAATCAACCCAAAAAAGTCATTGGAAAAAAAACTAACAATAACGGCATAACCCATATCTTATCTCAAACATAGTCAGCATTGTTGATTTTTGTGTTTTTACTTGAATTTTCAGTTTGATTTTTGTGCTTAATTTGACAAATTTATTCAATACAAACATAATCAACAAACGTGAGTTAGACCAATTGATCAAGATAGCCAATCAAAATACCAATATAAACATAATCAACAAACATGAGTTAGACCAATTGATCAAGATAGCCGATCAATATACCAATATAAACATAATCAACAAACAAACGTGAGTTAGACCAATTAATCAGGATAGCTGATGAAGATGGTTAATCAGGATAGTGACTCCGGCTCCTTGTATCCAACCCAAATTCAACTCCCCGATCCTGTTAGAGTAGATTTTAGTGTAATGATGATGAAAGTAGCATTTCCACTTGAAGAGTCTTAATCATTCTTGGTTAACTCTTCTCATAAACAGTTTTCACTCAAGACAACACAGATATTTGTGGGAAAGAAATGTCCCAAAATTTCATCATTCCACAGAGACTGGTCCCAGGAGGAGAATATACTTGTTTTATTTTATCTAAGAGACAGTTGTCTCCTACGCGAAGCTGACTGTATATGCCGTGGCGTCCAATTATTATCCTCTATATTGGGATCCAATTATAATCCGTACCACGACTCTCTCTCCTCCGTCCCTCTCCCTCTATTTTTCACACAAACATACAAGCAATTATGCAACTGCAATTTAAAAACTTTAAACTGCATCTGTATCTGTATGTGACATTTCTTCTAGCCAACGTCCCAAATTCATCCCACCCATTCGTCTGACGTGGAAATTAGTCAGTGCCAGATACCTAGGGCTGGCAACAGAGAACCCATCTAACTTCTAAGGCTGGCAACAGAGAGAGCCCATCTAAATGACATTTCAGCTTTATTTTATTCGATGATTATGGGGTAATTATGTTACTGATTAAATTCTTCTTCTTCTTCTTCTTCTTCTTCTTCTCTTTTTAGAAACATTAATTTATGGATTTGATAAATCACACACGTGATATGAATTTGATACAGTTATGTCATTGATTCACAAAAAGGGTTGATTGGATAATATCTTAATTATTTTATTCAGTAAATAGTTAATGGAGAAAATTAACAACAACTAACGTCCTCTTTTATACCTTCTCATTCTTACCTTCTAACTTGGTGCACTTATCCAAATTAATTATCTATCTTTTAGGCTATCCATCCAACGTCATCTCTAAAGAAAAACCTACCAAGTAAGGGAATATTTAAGTTTTATGAAATAAAATAATTCAATGTTTCGATTAAACCCTAACTTAACAGGAAGGATTTTATGTTAAAGATTGGTTAAGAATAAAAATAAATGTTCCGATTAAACCCTAACCTAACGGGAATGATTTTATGTTAAGAACTGGATAAAGACTTTTAATCTCAATTAATGAATCGCACGCGTAAGGAACATAATTAAACAAATATATATAACAATTGAATGCACTAACAAAAATATCTTAATTAGAGAAGCTCCCAACTCTAACGTAAGATACTGTTTATAAATGGCAAAGCAATTGCAACTTAGTTGACATTTTGTACTACTCACTGTTTTGATTGTATGTAACATTGAAGAATTGGAAGATAAAACCAAAAAGAATAAAGTAAAAGAAGAAAATACAAAGAGAACGTAGCTGATAATCTAATAGCCTGCGGTCCCTGTTATTTGATAATCAAATAAATATTTGATATTAAACTTTAGATGAATAAGTTAATTAGATAGTGATTACGATCTAAAATAACAAATTAGGTAATAATCGCAACTTGCTCTAAACTCATTATTCTACTACTTATTAGTCAGCATTAAATGTGGACCATAGACAGGATAATGCGGACGGTCTGTCTACGTGAATCTGACTGTGCATGTCGTGGCATCCATTCACCAATTCATAATGGCCGTTGACGGTTCCCAATTTTTAGGCAAACTTTTATTCGGATACTTCTAAAGTCCGAAATTCTATCCCGAAATTTGTGTAAGGTAGAAAAATTAGTTACTGGTGTTTGAGGCGTGAGAAATTAAGCTAAGAATATACCCAGCCATTGCAAGCCAAACCTAAAAACAAAAACAAAACCCTAAAAAATACAAAAAAACAAAGCAAAAGCGAAAAAAAAGAAAAAGGAAAAAAAAGAAGAAGATATCCAAAAGTGTGATTGTAACAGATGGGTGATTATAAGCACCGTGCATGAGATGAGAACAAATCACCCACGTACAAAATTCCAAATTGGATAAATACTTCATTTCTGGACTTTTCCTGGATATAAAATAAATAAATTAAAAATATTTTAAAAAAATGTGATTTTCGCTGTGACCGCAACCAACTTGACCAAATCATAGTATTTTTCTCCATCGACATCTCTTGTTCCTCTCCACACCCTTTTCCAAAAACTAATATAAATACCACACCGTAGACACACTCTGCTCATTCAGAAAGTACTCATCGTTGTCTTTCTTACCTTCAGGCCTTCAAACACCCGTTCTCTCTCTTTCTTTGTTTTTCAAGTTCTTCTCTTTCTTTCAAGTTCTTGTTTTTCAAGTTCTTCTCTTTCTTTCAATTTCTTGCCTTTCAAACGCCCAGATTCTCTCGTTTCCCTTCTCTTCTCTTTCAACCACAAACCAGAGCAAGTAAAAAATGGGTAAGGGAGGGATGTCTTCTCAGGGAGGGGCTCTAGAACCCAGGGATGGTGAACAAGAAAACATGGCTGCTTGGCTTGTGGGTGTGAACACCCTCAAGATTCAACCTTTCAAGCTCCCCACTGTTGGTAAGATTTTGATCTCTGTTTATGATATCAAAACCTTATACATGTATGACATTCTTTCCCTGGTTCTGTCAAATTGTTCTCAATGAAGCTCTTGCCTAACATTCTGTTTCCTTTTTTCTTGGGATTTCTTAATTTTTAGGTCCCAATGATGTCAGAGTCAAGATAAAGGCTGTTGGGATATGCGGAAGTGATGTCCACTACCTCAAGGTTCGCCTCCCTCTCCTGTCTTTTCTCCCCTGGTTCTGAATCTGATGCATATTCATTGTTCCGTTTTGGTTTGGTTTTGAAAACCCATATGATTTTGGAACCAAAATTGGGCTTTATCCAACAGATCAGTACTTATTCCCTTGTTTTAATTCTTTTCTTTTTTTGGCCATTTTTCAGACCATGAAATGTGCAGACTTTGTTGTTCAAGAGCCCATGGTAATTGGGCATGAATGTGCCGGGATCGTTGACGAAATTGGTAGCATGGTGAAGAATCTGGTGCCCGGAGATCGCGTGGCTCTAGAGCCCGGCATCAGCTGTTGGAGATGCGAGCAGTGCAAGGGCGGGCGATACAATCTCTGCCCAGACATGAAGTTCTTCGCCACCCCACCAGTCCACGGCTCATTGGCAAATCAGGTAACAAAAACCCACCCATAAAGTTTTCATCTTTCTATGATCTCTGTACGAAACTGGAGCCAGTTATTGATGGGCATTTTTTCTTTTTTGGTTTTGGGTTCAGATTGTGCACCCTGCAGATCTGTGCTTCAAGCTCCCGGAGAATGTGAGTTTGGAGGAAGGGGCCATGTGCGAGCCCCTGAGTGTTGGTGTTCATGCCTGTCGGCGAGCCAATATCGGCCCAGAAACAAATGTCCTGGTGATCGGAGCAGGGCCAATCGGGCTTGTGTCGGTGCTCTCTGCTCGTGCTTTTGGGGCAGCCAGAGTTGTCATTGTGGATGTGGATGATGAGCGCTTATCCATTGCGAAGTCTCTAGGCGCCGATGACGCCGTCAAAGTCTCAACAAACCCACAGGTTTCTATCTTTGCCACCGTCAAAGTTTATTTTAAAATTCTTAGATTTGATTTTCAAATCCATTTTTTTAATTTTTAATATAAATTTTATCTGAACAGGATTTAGAAGCTGAAGTTTCTAAGATAAGTAAGGCGATGAAAGGTGGAGTAGATGTGAGCTTTGACTGTGTGGGTTTTAATAAAACTATGTCAACGGCCCTCAGCGCCACCCGTCCGGGCGGCAAAGTTTGCCTCGTGGGCATGGGTCACGGCGTGATGACTGTTCCCCTCACCCCTGCCGCTGCCAGGTAATTAATTAATAGTGTTTAATCCCTCGTAATAACGACAAGTAAACTAGTTTATTAGGCCTAGTGGATGGATGAATCATGAAGGTGTTTGATAAATGTCTTTATCTGTGAAACAGGGAAGTTGATGTGGTTGGAATATTCCGGTATAAGAACACATGGCCGCTGTGCCTGGAGTTTTTGAGAACCGGCAAGATCGATGTGAAGCCCCTCATAACGCACCGTTTCGGATTCTCCCAGAAGGAGATTGAAGAAGCCTTCGAAACCAGCGCGCGTGGCGGAAATGCCATAAAAGTCATGTTTAATTTGTAAAGATGAGCTACTTACTACCAAGTTTTTACCTTTATCCAATTTCTTATTAGAGAGGTCGGCGAGAACATTATCCGTTAACAAGGCATTGTTGAATAAGTGCCATTGTATGAATTAAACAATAATAATATTAATAGTATTTTCTTTTTCTTTTTTTATAAACTTGTATGGACTTGTGGGTTGTGTTAGTTAACTTTGGATGCGTGGCTAATCTTTTTCTTGGGAGACACAAAAGAAATTTCTTTCTGGTTATAGTTGAATGTCGTGATCATTAACTAAGCCAATATCCATGGATGAGTTGTTAGTGTGATCCAATCCACTTAATAAAATATCAGAAATTGCAACAAACCCGAGTCAAACTCTACCCATTTGCCTCCTAAACATAATACATACCAATGCCATCCAAGTCCAAGGTGAGGAAATTTCTCATCAAGTCTCTATATGAAATGACGTATCGATACATGCTACATTTTTTAAATTACTACCGAAAAAGGGAGATTGAATTCAAAGGGACGGTTGGATAAAATATTCCTAAGAAAGATAAATATTTCGTCTAGTCATAGTTTGCATCTCGTCATCATCAACTACCCAATAAATTTGGAGATTACTTTTCTCACCACTCTTAATTAGGGATGGCCCATTGATGAGTGTAATTTAATCCACTTTACAAATATCAGAAATCCTAACAATTTGAGTCAAACTCTATACATGTTAGCCTTATTTCTTAAAAATATGATATTTTAAACTATTTAAGGGGGATATAATTAAGGTGCAAGATGTGAACACCCCGACTAAACCAATTGACATTTCCTTTTTCTTTTTCTATTTATTTTTATAGAAACGATAAGAATAACTAGTTATCGAACTCATCACAAATATATATCATCATCGTTATTCATATGAGTCGAACTTGAGATATCCTCCAACCAACTATAGATAAAAGACTAAAGACTAAAGACTATTTCAAAGTGGATTCAAATTTAAATAAGCAAGGACGGATACATTATTTCGTAAAGAAAGCATGGCGAAGGGAGTTGGTACCACCATACAAAAATGAGTCATGCTCCCACGCGGAATTGGATTCTACAATTTTTTTTAATTTTTTTTTATGAAGACTTTTAGATTCTACTTGATACTTGAAGAAACAGCAAGAAAAAAATAAACCCTAAATGCTTGGGGTCCCCCTATCCTTTAAATTTTGGGAGTTTCACTAAAATACCCAAAATGGGGGCTGAAATTATAAAAATACCCAACACCCAAAACACTTTATAAACATACCCAAAACTCATCATTACACACACTCAAAACCCATTTATAAACATACCCAAAACCCATCATTACACACATACCCAAAACCCATTTCGGGTATGTTTCTATGTTTAAATAGTGCTTGGGTATTTTTATAAATACATGTCTAGAATTGGGTATTTTTATAAATATCTATTAAATTTTTGGGCTCAAACTCTTACCTACCCACTGAATGCAACCTCCCGTCACCTACTCGTTAGAGCTGACTTTTATTAGGTATTAAGGATGCCATTGGCTGAGGTTGACTCAGATTCTGGGGTGGGCGCCGTGTGGGTGGGAATTATGCAACAATATTCACATGGAGTTAGGCACGTGTGTACGAGTGCAACAGGACAACTTGGCCATGATTTCTCCCTAGACAAGGTAACAAGGCTGCACCTGCACATGGCACATGAGGTTGCCGACCTTTGGCCCACAAACAAAAAACAAATGAAAGGAAATACATGCATAGTCCTCCGCGTTTACGGAATATACGAATATACTTTTAGTTCAAATAAAAAGAAACAGTACACAAACAATATTAGAGAGCCCACAAACTCATCGAAGTAAAATGGACTTGTCAATGTGCTAACTTTTATTTATTTTTTCTTAAAAGACGACCAGAGAAAAATTTGTCTTTGCGTTTACACTCCAAAGTCTAAAACATTAACGCATACAGATGATCCATAAAGCTCGCTCTTTAGGGAGATTTGTCCCGCAGTCAGTCACAACTTTGCATGGGCCAAGAAGCTTTCTTTAAGTCCATGGCACACAGTAAAGAGCGGACTGCGAACAGTGCTGCTGCTGATGCGACTAACTCCTACCTCTATAAATCCAAAAGCTCTCCAACCCATCATATCAGTCTGACCCCAAAAAAGAAAATTAAAAAGAGGCATAATCTCTTCCTCGGACCTACACTTACAAATGAACCCCAGAAAAATGAAAATCAAGAAAGAAAAAAAAATTAATAATACATTGTGGCCCGTATAAATAATCTCCCTCCTTAGGCAGTTGGAGCCGGTTCAACCACCCATTTCCATACTTTCACTTGACCGGTTCCATCACCTGTGAAAAACAAGCCACCGGGACCTACCTGGATTGATCTTATCTCCTCTTTTGAAAAAATTTTACCCCTCTCGGAAAACCTAGACCATATAATAGAACCAAAGAAAACAATTAGAGCAAATAAGATGCTTGAAAAATATGTTACCTAAAAATGAAAAGTAAAAGAACTAGGGCAGAGAGAGAGTGTTGAAATCTCACGCTGGCAAATCATAGACGCGGACAGTGTTGTCATTGCAAGCGCACAGCAAGACGGGCTTGGCTTCTGAATCATGCATCCCACACAGTGTAATCAAACCCTACAGCAAGGTCATAAGCATTAAGGACTTGACATTTCATGTCGGGAATTGAAATTCATACATATCCTATAATGATAACAGGTCCAGGAAACTGAAAATTAAGTACTAGGTGAAAGACTTTATAGTGGGGAATAAAACTTATGATAACAGGTCCAGGAAACTGAAAATTAAGCACTAGGTGAAAGACTTTATAGTGGGGAATAAAACTTATGACTACGGCTTTCAAATCAAACTACCTGCATAACACGCTAACAAAGATGACTACATAATTTGCTGAACAAACAGAACTTGCATTTAGAGCTTCTAAATGATAGGCCATGGAGTTTCAGCCTTCAATATTCCTCCGAGGAAACTTAAAAATGCCTATCTTGTTCTCAATCAATGCAGGAATAGCAATATAACTGAAATAGTGAAGACATATATTGAAACATAAACAACATACATGTTCTTCCTTGTGAGTATATGTTACTTCCAAGTTTCCACTTTGAGTAGCAACCCAGACCTGCACAAACCAAACAATTGGAACAACTAAATAAGTTTACAGTCCTAGCACAATACACAGTTACACATACACACCCACAAAAATCCTTATTAATCATAGAAGTGAGACAAACCTTTAATTGTTGATCCAAAGAACATGATAAAAGAAACTGATCCCAGCAAAGAACAGACATCACAACTGAAGTATGCTCTGTTAGCGTTTGTATACACTGCAATGTTTCCAGGCTCCAAACCTAAAAGAATACCACATGAGCATGACATGACTGAACTACAGTTGTGGAGCAATTAAAGGTCTTCACGAGTGTTCCACCAGCAAGCATTTATGCTCATTGCAGAATACGTATGATACTAAATCAACTTACCCTTATAGAATGGTCCATTGAACCAGAGTAAAGCCTATTTGCTCCAACTACTAATGAAACAACTGCAAGAGTGTGACCTTTCAACGATGCAGCTGGTTCAAAGCAATTAGTAACGGCGTTAAATTTCCATGCCAATATAGAACCATCCTGCATCAAAAGAAAATTTTCACTAAATATTAAAAAAATATGCTGATTCTGTACATGCATGCACAAAGGAAAATGGAGAGGGAGCAATGGAGGAAGTAGTAGATGCAAGCGCCTTTCACAATGGGATGCAATCTGCTTTTTTCAAGATTTAAATATGATTATTTAAAATATAAAATTTAAAAAAATTTAAAAAAAACCAGCGTGCTCCCTCAATATGGTCTATAATTGGATGGTTCACACAATGATGCTGCTGTGGGCACAGAAATACTCACAGCTGAAAGCCCTAACAAGGAGAGGAACCAATCATAAAATTAAACCATAAAAGTGGTCAAGGAATTACCTGCGTACCAGCAAAGAGCAAATCATTACCCACAACCAGGGCATAAACTTGTCCTACAGGCCCACTAAGACTCAGTTCAGAGTTAGTTTGGGTGTTCCATGCCTACAAAACCATATCCACAACCGAATGAGGCAAAATATCATTATAGTCTGCTGCTATAAGCTTAATTTTTAAGGAGATTCGTCCTACCTACCTTTACAACATCTGGTATACCAACAAATACCCAAGGACCTTCACTGATCATACAACCTACTTCACCGCCAAGATTAATTACTCCCAGGCACTGCCAAAATAAACAAATACAAGCACATGAATTATTTCCCTACCCCTCTGGATTGACAATGAGACATGTGAAAAATATTATCCAACTATATAAACTGAGCACAATGAACTGGTGATTAAGAAAACAAAAAGCAAATAATTGGGACATGAGAAAAAAATCTCTAGAAAGCTCTCCAGTTCTCCCCATAAAATCTCTCAAGACCCTTCTATGCATCCTATAATACAAGCCATGTTTTCCCTTCTACAGTTTTTATCATTGCCACTCATAAGTCCACACACTTTGCTCGCTGAAGTAATCTCTCCAATAATTTGACTACAATTTGACAAGGACTGTGTTCAGCTGCATTTTAGTGTTGTTGATTACTTTCTACTTTCTTTACAGAGATATTACCTGGCATTACAATTTTCACATTCCTATCAGGGGATGACATCCTTAAAATCATGATTGGTAGGAAATTCCCGTGTCCAGTGCTTACAAATCAACTAAACTAAGCCCCTCATCTAAAGTTTATAAATGGGATAAGCTACAGGAGTTCTTTTGCCCATTCCAATTAAAGATTGAACTTTCAGCTACCAAATAGAAGGGGAACAGAACTATATCTTACTCAACTATAAATTCTTAGGAACCAAACATAGAATTGAAAATTGGTGTTGCCCAAAAGTGAATGACTACCTGACCAGATTGGCAATCCCAAACCCTCACAGTCTGATCCTTACTCCCAGTATAAAGCTTATCAGAGCCAGACGGCAGTGCAATCCCACTAACGACCTGTTCACGAAAAACACAAGAAACCACATCAGTTGATAAAACATAAAGACCAATAAAAGGCCAAAAGAGGACAAGAGTAACCCCATAAAA